ACCCTTATTTCACATCTCTTTCCTCCCAGCACTCTCCATAGTGGTCAAACTAGACAACTGCACTTTATGACCTCTTTCTGTTGTCTTTGTTCAAATTGTTTCTGAAATGGTCTTCCTTCCCCTCTTTGCCTGTTGAATTTCTACCCAAATCTAAAACTCAATTCAAATGCCACCTCTTCCATGAAGTCTTCTCCGATTCCCCATCATTACCATCCTTCCTCCCATCCCTATCTCACACAGTGAAGTACATGTAGGAGAAGCTTAATAAATGTTCATTACACTGGATTGTACACGGAGTGCTAAAAAGAACCCTATATTTAGAATCAAAGGACAAGGATCTGAATCATGGCTCTTCTACTTAACTACCTGTGTGACCATGTGCAAGTAATTAACCTCTCTGGCTCTTAGTTTCCACATCTGTAAAGATTCTTCCAGCTAAGAACCCAATCATCCTAATGCTATACATCCCAGCTATCCATTTATTTTTTATATCCTAGTCTAAACTCTATGAGGGCAGGACTATGTAAACAGTTTACCTTCCCCTGAGCCTAGAAACAGAACCTACATACAGTAAGTGCTTAAAGTTTTAATTGTTAAAATGGTTCAAAAACCTCTATCTCCAACCTTAACCTGTCCTTGCTCAGCATCCTAAAGGAAATTTCCACCCAAAGGACTCTACCTACCTCAAAATCAACACACGGGTAGAATTGAGCTCTTGAGGCAACCCCAAGCCCCACCCACCCTCACCAAATAGATTCCCATGCTTAACTTCCATCAATGGCACCTCCATAAGTCTAAGGCAGAGGTGTCAAACTCTGGCACAACAGGTTACAAGTAGTCAAGTGGCTGGCACTCCAAGAAACCTGATTCAACTGTAATTGGGAAATATTTAACAAGATAAATAAAAATACAACATAGATAAGGTTTATTTGTGGTATTCTAAGTCAGTATACCGCCAACAGGGATCCATTTCTATTTGAGTTTCATACCACTGGACTCTAAGTCACCTCTGCCATGCTTTGCATGTAATTACTCATCAATGTAAAGTTGGCTTTCATGTTTAAAAATATATAATTATCCTATGTTCTATAACAAGTGATAACATCACAAATGAACCATATATTATTCTTCAGTTGACAACTGAACAATAATGAAAGAAGTCCCAAGTACTTTGAGATAAAAACAGACTGGAACTTCAAATTTCACTGTATAGACTTTATTGAGAATAACAACAATTTACAATGGCACTTTATAGTTTACAAAACATTTCATCTCCACTATCTCATCTGAGCATCACAATATTCCTGTGAGGTACTCTTCTATCCATTTGATAAGGTAATAACAACTCATCAGAGATTTGAAAATACACAGCAAATTGTGACATATAGCAATTATAATTATGCATTATATTTAAAATTACTTCTCAGCTGCCAATGCCTAAAGAAAACTAAAGGTTAAGTTTTTTGGTTTTTTTTTTAATCTGAATACTGTTGCCATACCATCCAGGGGTGGGGAACCTGTGGCCTAAAGGCCACATATGACTCTCTAGGTCCTCAAGTGCAGCCCTTTGACTGAATCCAAACTTCACAGAACAAATCCTCCTAATAAAAGGATTTGTTCAGTAAAACTTGAACTCAGTCAAAAGGCCAAGCCCAAGGACCTAGAAAGCCACACGTGGGCTCTAGGCCACAGGTTCCCCACCTCTGCAACTTATGAGATAGTTACTCATTCTTCTCCCTCTAGCATTTCATCTTCTTAAACCTTGATGTGATTTTCACAACATACTTGGCCAACGAAGACCAAAACTCCTTCATGACTTAGTAGATAGGGTCATCACTTACTCGAGCCAACTTCGTGGTAATAACTTTCCTGAATTTAGTTAGGCTGATCCAGGAACTACAGGAACAGACTTGAAGTCTTCCCAATTTGAGAGGACCTTCCATATAACCGTTGAAATCAATATCACCATGAGCCAGAACAGGACTTTAGTGGAAAGAGCAACATTTACCCAAACTAAATTCTAAAACCTTAAATCCTACAAATGCTTTTTAGGAAGTAATAGCCCACTAACAAACTAAGCCAGGCACCATTTGCCTTGTATAAAATTCAAAGAAACCATGAGAAAATTACTCTTACAGTAAAAATGATTAGACAATTTAAAAAATGAGTAAATATAACATATTGATGTAAATGAACATTCAAAAACTATATCCTCCCAAAAGCATAGCTTATCACTAGAAATGCCATAAATTTATGTCTTATATACTTGATAAGTATCTTTCGAGAACAAAAAAATCAAGGATGAAGTATTCCATTCAAAATCATAAATGTCAGTTTTGATGCTTTCTCCCTCTATAAGACATCAATTTCTTTATATTAAATTGAGTAAATCTATTAATAGAGCATGACAAATATTTTAAAGCAATCAAAATTCAAAATATTGTAAAAAGTACAAAGCAAAACTTTAATAAAAACTATAGTAACTTTTACACTCAAGAAAATCATGAGAAACAAAAGAAATAATATATGTAACCCTTAAATTACATAAAATAAAATTCATACTAAAAGTATATTCTAATTAATAAAACTATTCAACAACTAAACAACTTCTGCCATCTAGGACAAATCCTGATTCCCCTTTTTTTCAGGGGGGCTTTTAACTGCCACAAAAGAAACATAGTCAACCTGCATAAAGTACTGCAGTGCTCAATTCTCTTAAGGTACTGAAGAAGTTTTTAAAAGGGCCTATTTGAACCTTAAAAAGGGAAACCTGAGTTTCATTTAAAAAGAGGATACATCTTACTCAAGTTCTATCAAGTTCTAATATTAAAAAAAATTAAGATGGAAGTATATTTAATTACAAAGTAACTTTATAGATAAAGATACAGTAGATTTATAATTTACAGCGGATTTTACAATTCTAGGAAAATCTAAGTAATAAATGACATAGAAGAATCTTTATGTACTAGGGTCTCTTGACATATAACCATTAATAGAAGTCTTTAAATTGTGTTTAGCAATTAGAAACATTTAGGCAATAAAGTCTTGGGGGGGGGGAAGTCTTTAAAATTAAGGTTTATTCATTAAAAGATTCATAATTCCCTAATAATTTAACAAATGGGAGTGGACTTCATTGCAAGAAAGTGTATTTTTTAAAACTTCTAAAATAACATATTACTGAAATTGAAAGTATTATTGAAAAAGTGATGTCAAATATAGACAACTAGTTGACCAATAATCTAGGCGGGAAAAAGTATTTTGTTCACTATCAAGATTCCATTCTATACAACTAATGTGAACTTGAATTTAAGTTGCTGAAAAGAGAACATAATGTGGCTAAAAGAAACTGATGCCACTTTATGTTATCTTATCACTGAAGAACTTCCATACTCAAACTGGATCAAATTGACAGTGGCTGGAACATAGTAGTTGCTTAACAAATGCTTATTCCCTTTCCAAGTTGCAAACTAGGTTAGCCCTTCTTTTTGAAGAGGAGGGAACATTCTTATAAAGGTCAGGATAACAAGGAGTGATGAAAGATTCTTACTGTTGCTAATAATAACTAACATTTCTATAGCCTGTTTAAGGTGTGCAAAGTGCTTACTTAGTACATGGTATGTCATTTGGTCCTCACAACAACCCTGTGAGGTAGGTGCCATTATTATCTTCATTTTACAAATTAAAAAAATAAGAGATAAATTAGATTATTTGACCTAGGTCACACAGCTGGGAAAGTGCCTAAGGTAGGATTTGGACTCAGTCTTCCGCTTCCAAATCCAATTCCCTTGCCACAAAGCCACCAATGAAGTAGGGAAAGCTCTGACGAGGCAATCACGCTAAGAGACAAACAGCTCAATGGGAAAAGTAATAGCCTGAGACAGGCCTCTATTTTAACCTGTGGAGGGGAACCAAAAACCAAGTAACAAACTCTTTTCGACTTAGTTTCCTCATCTGTAATATAAGGAAGGAGGAAGTTAGATCACCTTTAAGTTTTTTTCCAATATTATATGCTAAAATAGAAGAGCTCTCTGTGTTCCACTTGTTACTGCTATGGACATAAATGCAAAAGATAAACGAGAGAATTGTCACAAAATTCCTAAACTGTATAAACATGAGAAAAACGAATTTAAAAAATCACTCAGCTCTATGTTTAGGAAGGTATTCTTTACAAAGAAAAAAAAGCTTGATATTTTCCTAAATGAGAACAAAGAAAATATACATTTAAAAGTTCGAGTGTCCAACTTTATCCTTTCTTAATGATATCCAATTGTTTTACTTTGGAAACCTCTTACCCTTGTCCAGAAAGAATTGGACAGAGCCACTTCTCAGTGATGTTCATTAGCTAAGCTAGGTAACCCCACCTACACCCCCTTATCCTGAAACCGCTTCCCATCATGTGGTCCCCACAAGTGGCTACACAAGGCCCCCCAAGAGGGAAGGATAAGGCTGCAACAGAAATCCAGCAGAACTTCCAGGGAGCAAAGGCCACCCCTCCAGCATCATTCATCATCTCTCACTCAGGACTCCGGCATGGGTTTTTCCAGGAGAGATCAACCTCCCTCCGGGCCCGCCCCCATCCCACCACAATCTCCCAGTCCCTTCTCAGGAGCAGGGGAAGCACCGCCCCGCCCCCCAGCCCCATCCTCCTTCGGGGCTGGAACCCGGCCTGGCCTAACCCCCGGTTTCCATCCTTCCTTCTATCCCTCCCGGCAGGGCGGGGCAGGCTGTGCCCTCCTCTCCCCAGCTGGTCAGCGGAGCCCAGAGTCCAGCCGGACAGTCCGGCGCCCCGGCCCGTTCTGGAAGGGCCCAGTGCGGCCCGGCGAGGTGGAGCCCCCGGCCCTTCCCGGCCCGGCGCAGCAGGACGCGGATGGGCGCCCCTGCGGGGCCGTTGGGCCCGGCTCGGGTTCCCGGGGCGGGGGCGGGGGCGGCGGCCGAGGGGAGGAGGCGGGGAGGGGCCAGGGGCGGCGCCCGCCCGCCCCGCGCCGGCCCCACGCCCTTACCTGTCTTCTCGTGGTCATAGCCCACCACGATGAAGTAGTCCGCCAGCCGCGCCATCGCCGCCGCCGCCCCCGCGCCCGGGAAGCGGGACCCAGTCCCCGTCGCCGCCCTCGCCGCCGCCGCCGCCCGCCTGGCCCGGGAGCGCTCAGCATTTTCCCTCTACCGGCGGTAGCAGCAGCGGCGGCAGCGGCGGCACTTCAGCCATGTTTGACAACCGAGGCGCGCTCTGCGCCTGCGCGGGGCGCCGCGCCGCGCGAGACTCGCTCCTCCTCCCGGCTCCTCCCTCTCGTCGGCTTCCCAGCGCTTCCCGGAGCTGCGCAGCCTCAGCCCCGGCGCCCCCTCCCCCCGCGTCTGCGCTCCTCCCCCTCCCGCGCCGGCCTCCCCCATCTTCCCTTCCCCCTCCCCCGCCTGGGCTGGGAGCAGCTGTGGCTTGCACAGGCCTTTCCTTCCCTCAGCCCACTTGTGGAGCGGGACCCGAGCGGGCTGGGGGGCGGCTCACGAAAAGTCCGCGGCCAATGGTCTGGAATCTGCCCCGCCAGGGCTTTTGCTGCTCGTTTCCTGTTTACGTTGCGCGGCCAAGCTTTCAGAGACCTTTGAGCCGGGTTGGGGGGTTGTACCGTCCCGAGCTCGGGCTGCAAGGGGAGGCCCCGCGGGCTGCCGCAGCCCCCCGGCCGTGCCGGGACACAAGTGCTGTCCATCCTACCTTCTATCCCTCCTGCACTTGTGTGCCCTCCTGCTTCTAGGGGGCGAGCGCAGGCCACCTGTGACGGACAGCTCGGACCTCCCACCCCCCAGTTTACCCTTCCATCGAACCCTCGGTCATCCGCCTGTGGCCTCTGCTTTCGGGCCATTTTACTGGCCTGGGCATTTCCATCAGCGCCACATGAGGAAAGGGGCAGGGGTCGCCCGAATCTTTGGGGTACGGCTTAGTTGGGTTGCAGATTTAAAACTCTTGGACAATCTGAGGTCTTGGACTTTGCCCTTCCTCATTATCACCAACCAACAATTTGAGTTCTACAAGCGTGACGCCACTCGGATATTTACATCAAACAATGCCATTTGCAGAGTTTGCAATTGTCCGACTGAATCTGACCAAGGTCAGGGTACGACTTGATTTAATTTATTCCCAAATCAGTGAAAGCCTTTCCTTAAAGCCTTTCTCTCAGACTCGAAAGGGACTTTAAAGATCACCTACTCCAAACTTCTACTCCACGCAAGAGTTCCCCTGTACAATACGCACGGAGCTCGCTTATCCAGGCTCCGCTGGTGAACTGTTCTTCGACAGCTCACAGCGGTTCTCTTCCTCATTCCACGATTGAACTGGACTCTGCCACCACCACCACCCCTCTCCCTGTAACTTCCACCCACAGCTTCTGCTTCTGGCTTTTGATGCATGCAGAGCATGTCTGCACCGTTTTCCAAATGACAAATATTTGAAGAAAGTAATACTCCTTGAACTACGAGTAAATGGTAGAAGCTGCAGATTTAGGCTTGTCAGGTAAAATTTCCCGAAAATTAAAGCTATCCAAAAGTGGAATGACAGTCTTAGGAGAGAGTGGGTTCCCCTTGAGTAGAGGTCTCCAAGCAAAAAAGCTATATAGTCGCTTACTTGCTGGCTTATGTGCCGTAGACGTGTTTTTTTTATTTAACGTGTGGACTGGAATATATAACCTCTGTGGTGTCTTCCGTGATGTCCTTCCTAAGTTTCTCCTAAGATTTAATTGCTTTGTAAAAGGCACTGTTAAGATTATTTCATTTAACCTAATTATTTCTGACTCCAGTGCTTATAAATTCAAAAGTATTATTTTTTTAAAAAAACACACAACTTGTTTTCTAATACCCCTTTCCCCTAGTCAAGGTCCTCTGACAAGCCCTATATGGCAGCTTGCAGAATCTGGTTTCAGCATGTGGCATATATGCATAACATACACAGATGTACCTAATATGAGGGCACATTCCGGGCACATACAAGTATTTCATATACAAATAAAGTAGCTTCGCCCTTTGCTCCCCAGCCAACAGCTGCCTGGAGGCTGAGGCTGATAAGAGTCTGACAACATAGCCTGATTAGTCGGGTTGGCTAGAGGCCAGAAAATCCCCCGAGATCAACAAAAACACCACCACCTTTCACTAGCTGCCTGAACAAATGCAGATTTGTTTCCCCAGGAGCCTCGAGAAGAAACCCGAGGGCCTAGCAAAGGATGAAAGAAGCAATAGTCTCCAAGAGCCAAAGCATCTCCTTCCTTGTCTGAAGGCGGAAATGGCAAAGAGATAAAGAAAGAAAGGAGGGAGGCTTGCCAACTTCCCGCTGCATCAGAGCTGCTGCCTTTTGTGAGTAAAGTGGATAGTTCTCTAAACTCATTCAAAGTACTTCCTGTGGTTTGTCTCTGCTCAACAAATTAGTGAGCCGAGGTTTATGAGGCAGAAGGTACTAGGCTGAGACCTGCTTTTTGCAAAGTCACTGAAATCCTGCTTTGGTTAGCCTCACCTCTATCAGACTTTAGTAATAATAATAACTACAGCATTTATATATGTGCCAGGCACTATGCTAAATACTCTACAATTATTTCCTCATTTGATCTTTACAACAACTCTGAGAAATAGGTGCTAAGAGTTTTACAAATATTACCTCATTTGATCCTCACGATAAGCCTGAGAGGTAGGTGCTGTTATCCGAATTTGACAGATGAGGAAACTGAGGCAAACAGGTTAAGTGACTTGAACAGGGTCTCTCAGCTAATAAGTGTCTGAGGCTACATATGAACTCAGGTCTTCCTAATTCCAGGCCTGAAGTTCTATCTACTGTGCCACCTAGCTGCTGTATACATTTACCTATACCTATACCTATACACACATATAAATATACACCTATATATACATGAACGTATAGAAAACATTCAGGACACACTCACGCAAGAAAAGCCCCACTGGGTCAAATCAATAAATCATTCAGCCCAGTATGATATCCCTGACAGCCTATTTGGTGGAATCGGACGGCCTGATGGAAGTTACTCTCCCTAACCTCATCCTAAGAGGAGTAGATGCATACCGCAATTCCTTTCCTTCTTTTCAATAAGCTATGTTGGTTATATCATCCACTGGATCCACTCATTTACTATAACCTCATCTGCACTTTGTTTACCCTGTTTGGGTAAGAAGTTTCATATGTTCATGTTGACTGCCTATGTCAACATGCCTTATGTCAAGAATGACCATGCTTGTACTTGTTCTAAAAAAACCTCTCCTTTAAGCTTTCAGGGTGGCTCCTTATCTAGTTTAATTATGAACAAGTCTCTGTAATCCTATATGTCAGAGGCAAATAAGACAGATTGTGCCTGGATTAAGAGACTTGAGATCTCCGTTTGTTTTAGGCAGGACTTTCAGAGAACCACCCTATTCCACTCAACTGATGGGATGAATCAGATTTTGGAAGCAAATTTCTCAATGGGTTTTGAGGAAGGGGATTGTAACTAGGGGGTATAAAGTGGAATGTTTTTCTTCACCCTGAGGCTCTGCTGTGTGCATTTCTATGCCTTGAAGATCCAGACTAAGAAAAACTGGATTTAACTCGTGCTTCTGACGCTTCTGCTGTCCTGACCTTAGGAAAGTCACTTAAACTCTCCTTGCTACTCTAAAACTATAAATTGCAGAGAGGTGTTGACTTGCTTTGGTGTCCAATCTCTATCAACTATCCTGTCCTTAACTATACTGTCAGTTTTTAAATGCTGTCAGAGCTTTATATAGAACTCTTTGAATAAACTACCTTTCAAATAGGTTCAAATAGGCTTTCAAACAGCCTCCTAAAAGTTAGTATAAACCCTGCCCAAGCTATAGGGCAAGTTAAAAGGGGAGCCAATAGACATCAAATGCTTCTTTTTCAAAGAAGCAAATGTTCTATTCTTTGCTTTTCATACACATGGTTCAAACATTGGATTATTTAGCCTAATTTTCTCTGCAGGGTGTGTTCTTGATATTTAATTGGCAACTGGTTTAAGGAACTGACCAGGAATATATAAACCAGAGAAGCCTAGAGAAAAGGTAGTCAGTGTCAGAAACAGCTGTTCAGCCCTTCATCTATTCTCCATCTAACAGCAGAAAGAGGGAAAAGTGATAGCCAGATTTTTTTTTGGGGGGGGAGGTGCTGTGTATCTGAGGACAGAGAGAAAAGGGATAGTTCCAGGGGTAAGGAACCTTCACATTTGAAGTTTAGATTCAGTCAAAGGGTCCCTTTGAAGACCTAGAGGGCTACATGTGCCTCAAGGCTGCAGGTTCCCCACCCCTGGAAGCACTGAGGGCACCTGTAAAAGTTTCACAGGAAGTATGTGTGTATGTGTGTGTGTGTGTGTGTGTGTGTGTGTGTGTGTACACACACACACACATATGTGTGTGGTGGAGAACCTGCCTCTTGGATATATCTGGGTTCAAATAATGTTGATGGTACACACTAGCCCCGGAATCATGGGCAAGTCACTTCATCTCTGAATGTCCTGGAGTAACTCTAATTCCAAAGGTTACAGACCCAAGGAGTTTCTGATCTGCCCTTAAGGTAGGGCTTTTCCATACTTAGTATTTCTGAAATGCCTGAAATAACAGGTCTGGGCCAAATACTTATTTGTGGCTCCCCTACATCCTTTCCTCCATTTTTTGTGGTGGGGAGGGTTAAATACATATACTTGTGCCTAGCGATTTGTCACCTGTACTATTGAGTCTTTGGGGGTCTTACACTCCAAGACTCTTTTCTTGGCTTATTAGAGTAAGTCAATTCAACAAGCATTTATTATTACTAATAAGAAGTCCTTCAGTGGGTACTAAAGGAGACCAAAGAAAATAACTTTTAGATAAAATTCAGGGGTCTGCCCTCATGAGCTTATAATTTAATAGAAATATTTTTCCAGCCCCACCCCACAGACATGTTGGGGGGGGGAATCTACTTGGATTTCTTCTTCAATTTGCTGGATGCTCTGATCTGTATAAACTAGAGACTGGCTCTTTATGTGAATCTGGAAAACATTCTTTGGGTTCCAGCCTACTTCCTTCTTACCTCTTTCTTCTTCTTTGCACTTTCCAAGCCCTGGGCAGTCTCAGAGGAGACTTTCTGCTCAATCTGAATTCACATCCAGAGAAACCTGAATGGATGAAAGCAGGTACACGTGAAAAAGAAAGATCTGAATTCTGCCAAGAAGTATTTCAGTTGGGATGTGACCAGAAAAAAACTGTATATCATAGATTCCCTAGAACAAAGTGGTTAAACTCGTTGAATGTCCACAGAGGAATAGATCTCACATGGTGCGCCTATTTTGCCATGGTAAATTCCAGGGCGTTTTGGAAAACACGCACTCACTCCAGAAGGCAGCGGGAGCTCCCGCAAACAAACCAGGCAGAGCTGGTTCACTCTTTGGGGCAGGAAAGCATCTGAATTAGAGGACGGGGGGCAGGACGGGGGCCGGGCGGGGCGGGTGAAGTGTTTTCCTAGCTTCAGATCTAAGGTCCCAGGAGCAGCCAAGTGCACCTGGACTGATAAGAGGCTTGCCAAGTTTCAGTTTTGTCGTTTGCCATTCCCGGACGGCCGACCCCCTGCTGGGGAGCGGGGAGGGAAGCGAGTGCCTGTCCTGAACCTCAGCCGGAGCCTGGCTCTGTCCTGGCGGGAAAGGGAGGGGAAGTTCTCACTTAAAAGCATAATTTGTCCTAAAAAGCCTCATTCCTCCCCTCCCTTCCCCCCACCTCCACCCCACACTCACTCCCCTACCAGGGGCTGGAGGCGGAATAATAGCTTACATCTCCATGCCCTTCTAATTAAAAAGCGCTTTCTCCCAATCGGGTCAAGATTTATTATCCCCATTTTATTGATGAGGAAACTGATACCTAAAAAGACGAAATAACTAGCCCAGGACCGCCCAGCTCGTCTCAGAGCTGGGTCTCTTCCAACTCCGAGAGAGCTCACACTATCTCTGGCTACAAACCTCTGTGGCACTCGCTCTAAGTTGAGCCGAGCTCAACGCTCCCTTGTGTGGCGGGGTTGGAAGCGAGTGAAGAGTTCTGGACAGCTGATTGGGGGAGTGGGGTTGGGAGACCGGCTTTTGACAGCTCAACTCTAAGTGTTACCGACTCCTTACTAGCAACACAAAGAAGCAACCTCCTTGGAACATGGGGGTAAAACCACCCTCCTTCCTGGGACAGTCAGGTTGTCCTTTGATTTGACTGTGTCCAGGCACCCAGTTCCCCAAAGGAAAAGTTTCTTTTCCCAAGGGTGACGACAAAGCAAGGACAACAGAAGGGGACAAATGAAAGTAATCTGTTTTGGAGCAACGAGACAGAGACGGAAGCAGGAAAAAACAAATAGGAGACTGAGAATTGGAGTCAATCGCTATTCTTAGGCTCGAATCCTGGCTCAGCACCTTTACCTCCTCCTCCGTAAAAAAGGTGGGGGGAGGGGTGGATTAGATGATTTCTAAGATTTTCCTGATCTAATATTCTATAATTCAGTTCAATAAACATTTATTAAAAGTCTATGTGCCAGTGACTGTGCTAAGCGCTGGGTACTGTGATGAGGAGGGGGGAGGGAGAGAGAGAGAGAGAGAGAGAAGGAAGGATACAAAGAAAGGAAGTGAAAGATTTTTAAAAGGGAGGAAGATGAGCAAAGAGACAGAAGCTAAAGGGATGAAGCCGCCTAACACACAGTAGGCAGTCAATAAATATTTGAACAATGAATGTTGTCCCTGTCCCACCTGCACAGCTAGGCGTTTCTGAGCCAGGTCCAAGTTAATGAGTCGATAGCCCTGAGAGCCCTTGCCTCGGGTGCACCGGGGAAGCCACTCTACCACAACTGCGGCGGGAATCCTGAGGCTGCCGCTGAGCCTAGCTAGCTCGAGAGGGCGAAGGTTTGGGGGACATCCCAACCATCCCACAGCCACCACACATCTTGCTCCGGGCGCAAGTGACTCACTCCAAGGTGATTCCTCTGACGCAACCTCGATCCAGGTGGCCTTTCCATTCACACCTTAGAAGCAAGGGACATGAAAAGAGGTCTGGAAAGTGGCCGCCACAAGCCGGCTGGCCACTCTCCTGGAGGGGTCGGGAGTGCCCAGGCTCCCAGAGCTCTGGACCACAGAGACACCTGTTCAACCAGAGGGTTCGGAAGCCTTGATGGGCAGGCAGTTAGAGACAGGAGGTGAGGAGTCGGGGACTCCCATTTAAAGCACCTGCAGAAGATAGAAACAAAGCCAAGTGAGGAACAGGAGTACACAAGTATATAAATAGTACTTTAGAATCCACAGACAAGAGGAGTATGTCAGTATTAATATCACCACCATTTTCTAGAAGAGGAAAGTAGGCAGTCAAAGAGGCGAATGACTTGCCTAAGGTCACAGGGCTGGAAAGTACTGGAGCTGGCCCTGGAGCCCACTCTTCCTTTCCATTATATCACGAGGCAGCCTTTAAAAGTTTTATAAAGACTTACAGTGGTCTGCAAAACTACTCAACT